TTTTGAAATTGTTTCAAACTTGAAAGTAACATAAAAATTATAAAATTTTACTTTTACATTAATATAGAACATTTTAAATAAACATAGAAATATAGAGAAAATAGAACCAATCCTTGTACAGGTGACTCAAAGGTCAAAGATGGAAGAGGGCGCTCCAGAAATGAAATACTTTGTGCAGAGTTAGCCATCATTGCAACTGTCCGAGGATCTCTCTACATCCAGAATCAGTTCCTAGTGGTGGGACTGGACCATTGTTTTCCAGGCAAGAGCCATTTCAATATTGGAAGACGCCTAATAGCACAAATCTATTCACGTTCTAAGCGTTTGCTTAATGAGGCTCTAGCCTATGCTTTATGCCCATTTTTCTATTCTCCAGGGAAATGCTTCTTCCTTCCTTCCTTCCTTCCTTCCTTCCTTCCTTTCTTTCTTTCTTTCTTTCTTTCTTTCTTTCTTTCTTTCTTTCTTTCTCTAATTCTATAATTCAGGAATTTAATCATTATTGCCTGAAACCAAAAGATCTAAATCAAGATGGTTTTAATTGCTAAATGCTGGTTTTGACATCATTCTTTAGCTCTTAAGATCTGAACTTATAATTCTGGAAGTTTTAAAAATGTTACAATGAAGTTAAAAAGCTAGTTCAGAGCCATGCATGACCACTCAACATTTTCCCTGTTATCCTCAGCTTACATTAGTTTGGGACATCTGTTGCCATTAATAAACCAATTTTGATATATTATTTTAAAACTATTGCTTATACTTTCTCAGAGGCCCTTGATCTTGAGCAGATTTTCCCTTTTTATTCTAGAATCCTCTTGGTGTTCTGGTAAGTTTCCTTCTCACTATTCAGTCTATTCACAGCTTCAAAACTCTCTTAGACTGTTTTGTTTCTGAAGATCTTGTTCATTTTAAGGGTTATGGGCCACATGTTTTATGAGTTGTCCCTCTGTTTTGAATTGTGCTGATATTTTTCCCATGACTAATTGGGGTTATGTGCCTTTAGGGAGACCTCAGAAGCACAGTGCACATGCCATCAGCATGGCTTAGCACTAGTGATACTGACTTTGGTCAGTTTATCCTCTTCCTTCCTCAGCCTTTACTTAAGGACTAAGTAGGTTCATGTGTCTACATAAAGCATTAGAAATTCTTCCACATGGAGCTCATCTTTTCTTAACTGGTCATTTTTTGGTGTGACTTGGGCCTCATTCTACTTACTTTATACTTTGGGTTTTAACCTGACTCCTGTTTTGTTTTGTTGTTACTCAGCCCCACCCCACTAGTGGGATCTCTTTCAAAGGGCTCCTGCATCCCCTGAGATACCCCACCACAGTGCTTTTTTTCAGGACTTCCTCATTCCTAACACTTCGTGCCGGCCAGGCTCGTCTTGTGCATTTTCTCCACCAGTTCTAGAATCAGCCACGTTTGCAGTGAGCTGGGGGAGAAGGGCCTTCGTAATTACAGTTAGAATGTCTTTTCTAGGATGTCTATTTGTAATGGTTTTGTAGTGAAAAGTCAAACATTTTGTTATGTGAAAATCACATCTGTCCTGTAATTTGCATATAGTAAGCTATAATGTAACCTGCAATGAAAGAAGTAGTGTGAGCCAGGCAGTGGTGGTGAGCACATTTAATCCCAGCTCATGAGGCAGAGGATGTAGAAGCTTGGTCTACAGAGTGAGATCCAACATGGCCAGGGGTACACAGAGAAACGCTGTCTTGACAAATCCAACTAACTAGCTAAATAAGTAAATAAATAAATAAAAATAAAAACACAAGAAATAAAAACAAAAACCCCACAAGAAGCACAAAACTCCCACAGAGCTACAAAGAGTGAAAATCAAAACAAACTAAAGACCAAGAAGTCAAAAAAATACCAAAACAAAACAATATAGAACAAAAGTCCAAAACACCCCATTGAATTCATTTTGTGTTGGCCAATTCCTCCTCCTCATGGGGATTGCCCTTGAGTGTGGCTATATACCCAGTGATAATCCATTGGAGAAGACTGTTTCCCTTTACTAGTGGGTATCAATTACAGATAGCTTCTTGATGAGGGGTGGGACCCTGTGTCCACTTTCCCCTCTCAGTTTCAGGACCCTGTCTAACTTGAACCTGTGCATGCCACCACAGTCCCTGTGAGTTCATGTGTGCATTATTCCTTTTGTGTCTGGAGGACACTGGAGTCATCCATCACCTATGCCTCTTAGAGTCTCTCCATCTCTTCATCCCTGGGCACTGAGTGAAGGGCGTTGATGGAGTCATCCCCTTTAGGACTGAGTGCTCCAAGGTCTCTCACTCTCTGCTCATTGTACTAATGCTGGTCTTGTGCTCGTTTTCATATACTTGCAAGACGCTTCTCTGATGTGGGTTAGGTGAGGCATTGGGTATATGAGTATAAGAATATGTCATTTTCCTGCTATGTTCCTTTAGCAGAATAATAGTAATAGGCTTTCCCGTAGGCCTATAATCTATCTAGTCTCAGGTTCTTGGCCACTTTAGCAATGTCAGGTGTGGGTAGCATCTCATATAGTGTGTTAAAACATGATCAAAAGAATGACTCATGGTGAACGATGCTTTGGGGATCTGTGAGAGAGACTCCTGGAGAAACATAGAGGGCCTTTTACCTCAAGTGCACTTTGTTCCCTGGATCATTCTTGGCTGTGATTTAGTGCCTCCTGGGTGAACATTTACATTCAATTTATAGGATATGTGTATTCTTGCTGGATGTAAGAGCATAGGCTTATTCTTGCCCAATTAGGTCAATGTACCCTGAATCTGGATATGGTCTTCTCTCTTGTTTTTGAGCTTTCTCAGATATAGTCTATAGTACATGCCAGGCAATTGTGGCAAAATTGGTCTGCCCTAAGAAAGTTCTGAGACAGGGTTACTATGCTATTTTTTTTTAATATGTGCTTACTGATATTTATTTACATGTTTTTCTGAACTTGAACAGTCTTGCTTGGATCATTGCTTTCTTTGTTTCAGTCATGTATAAAAGTACACTGAAACTGAAGTAAGATGCCTACAGCATCAGACTGTAGTCTGCCTCATTTTTTCAGGTCCTCAGATCCCAGGTCGAGCAGACAAAATCAGCACAGGTCAGCTGAAAAGTCAACAGTTGTGACCCTTAAATCCAATAAGAAATGTTTGGTTGCCCCATTGCATTTGTGCCACCAATGCTACAGTCTATCTTGCCAGCAGGTCATTGTTGTAGGTCACAGGGTTTATAGTTGGGTGATATTGATAATTATTTTTCTTCTCTGGTAAGGTGCAGAGTACCTCACAGGACCATGTTCAATAAATAATTGTTGCCTTCAGAAATAGAGCCCTATTCTATTATGGAAAGACAAGTTGTAGAAAGCAACCAACAGTCTTGGCAACAACCTATGATAGTTGATGGTGTTGTAGTTAGGGATTTACTGCTGTGAATAGACACCATGACCAAGGCAACTCTTATAAAGGACATTTAATTGGGGCTGGCTTACAGGTTCGAAGGTTCAGTCCAGTATCATCAAGTCAGGTACATGGTAGTATCGAGACTGGCATTGTGCAGGAGATGCTGAGAGTTCTACATCTTCATCTGAAGGCTGCTAGGAGAAGAATGGACTCCAAGCAGCTAGGACCAAAGGTCTTAAAGCCCACACCCATAGTTACACACCTACTCCAACAAGGCCACTTCTCCTAATAGTGCCACTTCCTGGACTAAGTGTATACAAACCATCACTGAGGGAGAGGTCCATGGGATACCTTTGACCAATGACTCAACAAGATATAACCTGGCACTGGAGGATTTGTTTGGTGGCATACAATATCTATTTGGGGCATTGTCTCTTTTATTATTTGGGATGTCAGTTAGATTACTTTCATATATGTATTTTTTTTCACACAGCTTTTCTTTTTTTTAAATGATATTTTTTATTCTTTGAACACTCCATACATTAGTACAATGCATATAGATCATACCCATCTACCTTTTTCCAACTCTCCCTCACGTCCCGCCCCATCTCCCTCCTACCTACATGTACTCTTTTTATTTCTTGCTATTAATACCCTCCCCAGTCTAATTAGTACTGCCCATATGCACATGGGTATGTAGCATCCACTGGGGGCATGAACAACTACTGCTAGAGGCTGAAGGAGAATGATTCTCCCTGCCCCATCAACCATCAATTGCCAGTAGCTCCACCAATAGAGGTGGGCCTCAGGAGTTTCCTCCCATCCACACTGGAATCTTGGCCAAGTTGATCTTGTGCAGGTAGCCACAAATGCTGTGAGTTGATGCCTACAAAAGCCATGTCATGTCTTAATGACGTCTCATAGGGGCCCCTCTTCCCTCTTCTGAGACTCAACCTGAGCCTTGGATAGGAGAGGATTGACTCACTCAGAGCTGAGTGCACAGTTTGTACTTTGATCAGTTCTGAGTCTTTGCACTGAGTGAGTGCACTGTAAAAAGAAGCTTCTTACTCTAAAGTAGCAAGTAGCTCAAGTCTACTGACTCCTTTAAAAATATATTTTATTAATTCTTTAAGAATTTTATACAATATGTTTCGATCATATTCATTCCCCACTGTTGGACCTAATTCCTCCATCTTCCATATCTCCCTTCCTACTGGCTTTTTTAATCATAAGTTTAGAATTCAAATTTGACCAAAAGCCAAGTAGGATTTCCCTGCCCATCCTGAGCATGCCTGCTCTTATTGCCAAGAGTGAAGGTGCTGGGGAGGAAGCAGCATTAGACCTGGTGACCTTCCTAGAGCTTTAAAAAAACCCACTTTCATCTACAAGGGGGGCAACAACATAGCCTTTTTCTTTCCTTGCTTTCTGCCTTTTTCCTTTTCCCTTTTTTTTCTTTCTCTCTTTCTTCCTTCCATTATTCTTTGCAAAATAAGAAGAATCAATAATAGCAAAGTGCCAGACTACATAAAATCTTGAGTAATCTCTTCATATTACCACTTCATGTTGCCTCAAGAATTCCTGGGGCGAGTGGAGGAGTGGAGTTGATCATTAGGGACACGTTGAAAATTTCCTTAGCCTGTTGACGGCAGTCACCACGTGGAAATGTTTCTTCCATTTACTCTGGGCCATATATTTCTGCAGCAGTAGTTGGGATCTGAGGCGAACGTTGGAGCCCGAGGCTTTGGCAGACAGGTGATTTAACCACTCATGTTTCAGGCACTGTGTGGCACTCATCCTATAGCTCTTCTCTTTGACCAGCAACCGGGAAACAAAGTCCTTGGCTTCCTCTGACAGCCCTTTGAAGGTATCAGCATTGAAATCCCAGCTGCACTTCACAATAAAATTCATGGTCTCTGCATCTGTTTCCCCTAGAAATGGGGACAAAGCACTGAGTAGCATGTAGGTGATAACTCCCACACTCCACATGTCTGTTGAGAATGACACAAACTCATAGTTAACAACTTCTGGGGCCAGGAACTCTAGAGTACCAAAGTTCACCTTTAGCTTCTCCCGAGGCTTGTATCTTCTAGCCAGCCCAAAGTCAATGATCTTAATTTGATGCCCGGTTTGACTGACACACAGTATGTTCTCCGGCTTGAGGTCCAGGTGCAGGATGTAGTGTTGGTGCAGGTAGTGCACACCCTCACAGATCCACACAGCTTTTCAAAAGGCCTTTAGTGTTACTTTTCTGTCACTGGTACTCCCTCCTTTACCCTGTTTTCACACTTTGTGCTAGGTTGTCAACTTGACACACAAACTAGAGTTCTCTGAAAGGAGAGAAACTTAACTGAGAAAATGTCTCCATAAGATCTGGCTGTAAGGCATTTTTCTTAATTAGTTATTGATGGGGGAGGGCCCAGCTCAATGTGACTGGTTCCATCCCTGAGCTAGTAGTCCCAAGGTTCTATAAGAAAGCTGCCTGAGCAAGTCATGGAAGCAAGCCAGCAAAATGCACTCCCCTGTGGCCCTGCATCAGCTCCTGCCCCCAGGGTCCTGACCTGCTTGAATTCTTGCCCTGACTTACTTTGATGATGAACAGTAATATACAAGTGTAAGTCAAGTAAACCCTTTCCTCCCGAACTTGCTTTTTGGTTATGATGTGTCATTGTAGCAATAGAAACCCCAATTAAGACGCATTTCCTCCCCACTTAATCCTCATATTCTAGTTTTCTGTTTATCTCTTCATAACCATGTGTTCTATTTCCTCTTCTTTAAGGCATCCCCTTTTCTCTCTGGCCCCTAACTAGATACTTAAACTCTTCAGTTATACAGATTGTAGCACACATATCTAAAGCTAACATTCATACATAAAACATGCAATATTTGCCTTTTGGGGGGGTCTGTGTTACCTCACTGAGAAAGACTTTTTTTTTTTTTATAAAACTCCATTTACCTGTGAATTTCATAATTTCATTTTTATTAACATTTGACTAATATTCCATTGTGTAAATGTACCACATTTTCATTTCTCATTCATCAATTGATGGACAGCTCGGCTATTTCTGGCTCTTGTGAATAGAACATCAGTAAACATGCATGAACAGACAAATATTTCTGTAGTAGGATGGAGAGCCTGTCGGTGAATGTCCCAGAATAGTATAGCTGGTTCTTGAGATAAAGAAATTCTCACCTTCCTGAAGAACTGCCACAGTGATTTCCATAGTGGCTGGACCAGGAGATTTATATGAGAGAGTTGAAGGGACTGCCCATGGGGATAGTGAAGGAAGACCCCAGGATGGCTGTCAGAAGCACACAAACAAGGTGATCACTGCACGCTGAGTACCACCCACTCCAAGTTGCTGCCTCAATACCATACTTATACACAAGGGTGAAATGACTTGATGAACGTAGTCCATGGTCTCAGCACTTGACTTGCTGATGATGTACTATCAAAATCCTTACTTTCTCCTGGGTACTTGGATTCATTTAAAATACTTTCTTAGGCCTGACAAAGGATTTCTGTGAATTTATAAGAAAATACATAGCATTTTCTTCCCTCTGATGGACATGTGGTCTATTACCCAAATTACTGTTCTGTTAAATGCCCCATGTTGATACGTACGGTTTCCAATGACCTTGCCCAATGATATGCCTGAAAGGACTTGTAAATCCTCAGGGAATCTGAAGCCAGTTATCACCCAGACAATGTATCATCTCATGTTTATTGAAGTGCACTTTTATAATAGTGCTAATGCTTCCTTCATATTCCATAGATATGTGCTTCTCAGTTATAGTCTTTAAACTGTACAGACAAGCTAGGGAACACTAACACAAAAGGCAGGGATAGATTCTCTTAGGGAAATGGGGCACCTGTGGTAGTTCTTCCCAATGAAGCAAGGGTGAGTTGAAAAAGGCAATTAGAGCAATGTAGGTTCTCTGTGCTGTTTCTTATTCATCCTAGTTTTGATAAAAACTCTCCAAAGTGGTAGAATTATAAGGTGGAAGCAAGTCAGAGTCTCACTGAGTTACTCCTGGGGGTGTGAAGGCAAGCCTGTGTGGCCTTTGGCAGTCTGCTCTACCTTCTGTGCTTTTGGTTAATGTACACAGAAAATATTAAATGGAAGAGTCTCCCAATGAGCAAAGCATGAGTTTTAGGCTGTACACTGCTCTGTGTTGTTACTGTAGTGGTGGTGTTTAAGTGACCCATATGTAACAACCAAATGAGACCTCAAAGTGCCTGTTGCCCCTCTTCTGACATCACTCCGTCTCATAGATGGTGTATCAGCACACATCAGCACATAGGCAGGGCAAGAACAGCATAATAGAACATTCTGAGCAAGCACAGCCACAGAGCTTCCATTGCAGTATATTATATTTGCTATGTTTTATTAGTCATGTAGATGCAGCTTGACATGACCACAGTCCTCTTGAGTCATCACTACCAGGATTGCCCTTGAGGAGTCCTAGCTTGTTTGTCTACATAGTTGTTCAGCAAAACACAAATAGACAAAACTTTATGTAAGTCCTTGGAGTCTTGTGTAGGTTTTTTCCATCAAACCGTTGCTCCAGGGTTGTGTCTCTCCTTTTCATGTTATCCTAAGATAAACCAGGTACATCCTGGAGATAAAACGGCTACTTTTGTCTAATCCATAAATACATCTCTCTGATTCACATGTAGGAGATTCTACTGGTTTTGTTGTTATCTAGGACTACACTTTGGTCATCCTCCAGTAAACTTTGTTGTGTGTAATTCCAGATCTGTCTGCTTCTCTTCTGTCTTTTATGTAGGACCAGTCTTCAAACACCAGGACCCAGCTATATATAGCTTAGATTATCTGCTGTTTCAGGCCTCCATTAAAGTTTGTGGAATGTATCTCCCACATTCAAAAGAGACTCCTGTAATTGTTTGCATACGCTTTTAAATTATTAGCATCCATTATTTTTACACAGGAATTGGGTTTATTATGACATTTTGTTCTCGGTGTTTTAAGTCAAATATGACTTGTCAGTGACTGCCCCAGTATATCAATGATTTACCTGAGGATCTTCAGAGGTAGTCATACTATACTTTTTCTTAACTGGGGTAATGCACACATGAGTATAATTTAGGAATTCTTTGGATTTCATACATTTAGAATATTTCTGTTCGTCCTGGGCATTTCACAAAACCACAAGCCAACTCCCCTGTGTACGTGGAGCTGAGAGTTGGTTGGCCTATTTAATCTGGGTGCATCTGAGAAGACAATTTGGACAGTCATTCTGGGGAAACTTTTGCAAACTATGTCAAGAAGGTTTCTCTTTTTTATAGAGTGACTTGTTTCTGGTAGTAATTGAACCTAAGAATACAAACTTGGGTAAAAGTGCACTCAGAAGCATGCTCACCTGCAACATTACCAACAGTGGTAACAAGTGGAGAGACAAATGTGGCTGCTGGGGTGCATCTACTCAGAGATGCCAGGCAGCTTTTTAACTCACAGAGACTTAGGTGTCACCGCGGAGAAAATGATGAGGCTAAATGAGAAGAAAGAGTATACAAGCATGTGTCTGTAAGACAAGCGTGTGTCTATAAGACAAGCATGTGTCTGTAAGACAAAACAATCGTGTGTCTGTAAGGCAAGACAAGCGTGTGTCTGTAAGACAAGCGTGTGTCTGTAAGAGGACCATCACTATGTACAGTCACAATGATGCAAGAGCCCTTGCCACTGCCACATCCAGTCCATACTGGGATTACTTAGACCATTACTTTGAAAAACAACAGTGACCTAGTTATACTCCAAAACATAGACACCTTATTGTGTAGTTATTTCTTCTGGACTGAATTATTTTCTTCTGGAGTGAGAAGGAAGACTTAAGAAGCTAAGAAACTTAGGAACCTCAGAAAGTATGGAAAATTAGTTCAAGATTCATAAGTCCCTCTCCAAGGCGGTGTGAGCAGAACACACTGTGGATCTGGGACTCTTAAGTGGAGCTGACTGCAGGTTGGGTGAGGGTGTTCAGAGATGCAGCTTTCCTTGAATGTCATCCACACTGGGGTGGCTTTTCAGGCATGCAGCTGTCGATTCTCTTGCAGACAACCTCTTACCCATGCTCCTGTAAGTAAGGCCAATAAACTCTAATTCACCATCCTGGACTTGGCTGAAATCATTTGTTTGTTCTGCTGTTCATGCCTTCTGTTGGGTGAATGGAGACTTGTTCACACGTCTCCAGGGAAAGTCATGCAACCCATTTAGAAAAAAAAAATGTAAACACGTTTAAGGTTATATATAAGATCTTTCTTCTTCTGGATTAAGTTTTTAAAACTTAAAACAGATTTAATGAGATTCAATTCTGCAGACACTTGGAACTTCTGGACATATTGATGTGTAAGAATTAAGGAGGAATGAGAGGAGGGGCCGCTAAGGGAAGGGGACAGTGGTCCTGTTGTTACAGGTGAAGTTCCCAGATCCCTGCTTAGTGAATGGGAAATGACCTTTAGTGTCTCACACTGGGACCATAAATTTGCTCTGTGTCACCTGAAAAGAATTCTCAAGAACTTCTTGTTATAATGTTCCCTTCTATCTAAATTTTCTGCTCATTAAGAGGATGGAAGACACAAGCATCTGATCAGTGAAGAAATCAGTTTATACGAAGAGAGTTGGGCATATCGTGCAGCTCCCTCTGAAAGAACAATCTACCACTCCCTGCCATAGCAGGTCTGAGCTTCACGCCATTGCTTACTCTCTTCAGCTAAGCCTCTATATTTCAGAGCAGAAATCATCTTACACTTCTCTCAGGTCTTTAATTGTCTTATAATTATTTCTCTTTGGAAGCTGTCAGGGTGATGGAATCCCAGGTCAGAAACACGGAGAAGAAATAGAAAGAAAAGAAGATACAAGAAAGATGTAAAAATGCCTATAATGAACTCATGCATCTTGGGGAAACTTCTAATCTAATGAGCATGGATTTTGTTGAGATGATTGTACACCAACAATTAATTATTCATGGCAGAGCCATCATTAAGATTTCATTTTGTTTAAAGGCCTCTAAGTGACTTAGAAAATTGGGTTAAGCAGGAGAAGAATTTCAAGAAAGAGACAAGGGAAAGCTTTTCGCTATATTGACTTTTTAAATATTTTCAAGATAGATATTGTGAGTTGGCATATAAATTATACTCTGACTGAAAACCTCCAGTGAGCTGCCTGGATAACTGTCTGTGCATTGGTAGGTAGCATGGCAAAATGGAAGCAGGTTGTCAGAGGGTTGTGAAAGGCTTAGGCATTTATTACAGGATTCTATAATAATTCAATTGGTTATGAGAATAGGAGAAATCTCTGTGAATAACAAGATTTGTGCAACCTGTGGCACTTTGTGTCTTGTATGAAGTGAATACCCACTCTGCCCACTGACAGTAATGCAAAGTCAGGCATTACTTAGTTTTGTAAAATGTCGGTGTCTTAGTCCTCATGACTTGCTTATCTTGAAAGGAAAACACCAGAAATTGGTGTCAGGTTGAGGTTTTAATATGAGACTGATTCACAGCATAGAGTTAGCGATCCAGGGTGGGTTCATAGAAAGGTATGGCATGCAGCACCGGTCTCTGAAGGTACTTTAGAAATGTGTATCAAACTAATGAAAGGTGTTGGTCTACCTGTGCAAAAGAACCTCTTCTCTGTTATAGACTAAAGAATCTTGAAACACCTTTAATCAATAAAGAAGCAGAGTTGAGTGGCACTGGTCAAGAGCCAAGAACAAAGAGGTCAGGTGATTAAGGCTGAGTTTTCAGCTGGGCATGGAAGCAGCATCTACCATAGACAGAGATCTTTGTCTAGAAATTATATGCTACAGGAGGGCAGAAGGCACCAATAAGAATGAGAACAATACGGTCACCTTAGAGATGGGCCATTGCCATAATAGAGGGTTGAGCCCAATGTGTTTTTACTTCTAAAAATCTGTAACATTTTAAAAAACATTGTTTAAAAACAGGGTAGTTTCTTTCACGTTCATTACTACTCTATTCAAAATAGCCAGAAATTGGAAACAACCTAAATGTCCCTCAACAGAAGTATGGATAAAGAAAAGGTGGTACATTTATACAACAGAGCATTATCCAGCTGTAAAAACAAACAAAAAAACAAAAAACCACCCCCAAAAAATCCCAGCATGAATTTGAAGGCAACTGGATGGAACTAGAAAAAAAAATCATGTATACACTTACATATTGATATTAATAGACCCAGACAGG